TTTGTGGATCAAACAAAGTCTGTTAGCTCTAAATGTAGTGATAAAGACATGAATTTTTGTATGTGTAGGGTTGATCCTAAAGGAGAACCCAATGCCAACCAACCCACCCATCTCCTCCTTTCCTAAAGTAGACTTTTCAAGACGTTAGCATAATCACCTGAGACCTCTTGTAAAGTTCACTAAAATAATAGCAAGCACCTTCGCAGCCTGTTCACAGACCCTCTACTTTTTGATTAGAGATCGTCGATCTATTTTCTCTTTGGAGATCGTCGATTTTGCGTATGAAAATAAAAGCCGCGGGGGACTTATTGACCAGTAGAGCAAGGGGCTCTCTCTCACGCGCTCGTTTCGTTCGCGTGCTCGTCTATTTTCGAAACAAAAGAGGAGTGTAAAAGCTGCACATTCGTCGCTCAGAAAACGTCTGCGTATATCATTTTCAGTTCAGGCCATACGCAGTCATCAATCAATGTGCCTTTATGGACCCCTCTATGAGCAGCCAGTAGGTTGATCTAGAACGGTACCACGCGATTTGTTGCACCGCTACCCGGAACCAAACAATTAGAGGTGGTGAGGAAAAACTCTTATTTTCATGCGACAATTTTGTGGATCAAACAAAGATCACCTAACGTAAATGCAGAAAACCTTATTTTTATCGTTAGCATGGTAGGTTCGATGTTTGGTTATTGCCCTACATACTCACGTGACTAACAAGTCAGGAGCATACCAAGTGACTCACGACATCTTTTCTATGATCGCAATACATTCAGCATTACTGGGGCCACAGGCGCCACAAACCAAGTTTGAAGTGCGAGATGCTATACGAACATACAACAAAGACTTGCACCGTAAAACACTTATACCTGGAATTTCTTTTTCGGCGCGTTACGCGTCACGCACTTCCAGAATGTCATCTTCCCTCGTGTTGACAGATTGAAAACATATACAAACTTAACTTCGATTCTGCCGTGATGCAGAATTTAGTTAGCGGTACTGTGACCCCGTCTAGCATTTAAATTCAGGTAAGTAAATAACTTTTCTGATATTAAGGTTTCAATACGATTAAAACTATAGCAAGCGGGTATTTCGACAATATTCCCCTCTACTAACTGTGATTTGAACTGCGTCATTCGTCTCTTCATTATGGTTTATTGCAAAAATCAGTTGAAAGGAATCATGTTAAACCGAACAGAAACGCCGAAATATAATCTGAAACCGTTACAACTCTGACTAGGGTTTAAATGTCGAAGTAACTTAGGTTTGCGAAGGATTAATATTCCAAGCGTTGAAACTTGCTTGTTGCACGCGCTTTCCTGGTGTCAAAATACCCTTCAGGTTTTGGTCTCTCGACGGTGTGCATTTGGAATGCCGCCAGAAATATTTTAACACAAACAACAGCAAAGGATAGGCTTCAATACAGTTCTTGTTTCATACTGAAATTCCATGTACCAACTGGGTTTTTACGATGGTGAAGTTATGTCAAATTTGCCATTTTTGAAAAGTGCTGAAAGCGTAATTCTTCTTGCGGTCGGTACAGTCACATAAAAAACGGTTTATTTAAAGTTAACTGCTGAATTATAGAGTAAAAATGTGTGTCTGTTTTGTGACTTGATTTCACCTAGAGATATTATTCCGTTTTTATGTACGAGCGCGAAGAAAATGCTCAATTTTCGCTAATTTCATACTCGAAAGAGCGCCGATTTAGAGTTTTTCAAACTTTGCCTGATTCCTGAAAAACTAAAAAGCTGTTACAAGTTTTAACGTGATTTTTGAAATTAGTGTACTATAGAGATTATTTGAGCAAAATATGAAGAAAATCAAAAATTCACGACTGTCAACCGATTCTCGAAAATTACAGACATTGGCTCTTAATACATTTAGACATTTTAATACCTCCCCGAAAGTAAACCAAGGGGTCACCAAGGATGTAATAGTGAAAGTAAATAAAAGTGCCAAATGGTTACTAGTCTGCTATACAGCCGTTTTTGGTTGACGACACTAAACACGGCTGTGTAGCGGACTAAATGGTTACTAGACTGTTCACAGTCCCCTATTTTTTCGTGAGATCGTTTAGATATACCTCGTCTTACTGTCACGGGTACCTTGATTTTCAAATGCACCGAGGGGGCGGGCGTCGGGGATTATACCTCTGGCGCTTCCTCCCAAATCACCCCCACCCGCTAAGTAGTTTTGACACTCATGCAAGATGGTAGCCCGTAACGCAAAGCGCTCGATCTCGATGATCTTACGGAAAAATAGAGGACTGTGAACAGTCTAAATGGTTACAAGCAAGGAAAAGGAAAGAAAGAAATTAGAGAGTAATATTTTGTACTGTTCTCAATCTTGACTGTGATCTGCTTGCAAGATCACGCAACCAAATTGCGAATGTGAACAAACTTGGATCATGCAAAGACACAACAACAACAAACATTAACTTCCTTTATTTTATTCTTAGATGACTGGTAAGCCTTACGTTCTTACAAAGTAACAATGTGTATCTGAATTAGAAAAATATAGTTTACACAACAGCAGTCGCTTTGAGCTTTATTATTATTATTTTTTTAAACAAAAATGTATATCTTGATATAACATATGTGCGAATTCCTGGAATTCAATTAGGAACAGACACGCTTATTAACAAGTGCTGGAAATCTTTTAATATCTGTTCGCCTTTGTTAACGTAGATTTAGGTTTTACCATTATTTAGTTTAAGGGAACCTCAACTGTAATAAAATTTTGACTGTACCTTACAACTGTATATTTTGAATACTTAATTTCGACTCTTCTTCTATAAAAGGGATGGAGTTCAATTTACCAGAATATCGGCTACTTTCGCCTTCTTCGAGGGTGCCCTTGTCAAGAATCGACGTTTTTTGTCCGCAACAATGGCCGGAGAAAATGTTTTCAAAAATTACAAAATTATGTGTCGGACGGAAAATTTTATAGCAAAAATAGGCGATTTTTGTTTGCTGGTATCCACTTTCTCTGGATTAGAACATAGTTTCGGTCAAATTGTTGTAACAATGAAAGTTCCCTTTTAAATCTTTCACTCCCAGATGTATCTGGTGAACAGCAAAAAGTATCATGTGAAAGTTTTGCTAAAGAGGACTCATCTAAATGGTAACATCATAGGATTTCCTCTACAGACTCAAAAGTTAGAACTACTTTACAAGACTTCAGACGGCCTGTGGCAATAATTAGTGAGTTTACGCAAAGGAGGGTGAAGTTTAGCGTAACGTTTTTTCAAATATAATTACTGTTACGCTTGTCACACAACGTTTGCCGTCTTCTTTCCTCTCCCGTCCTGTTGCGTAAGTTCGCTAATCTAGGGCGCTTAACGTCCTAGCCCGTTTCGCGAACGCGTTAACAAATGACACTTTTTCATTTCGGTTAGAGAAGGTTAGAGAAATGACCTAACGCGTTAAGGAAACGATAGGGTTCACGCAGTCCTTTGAGGAGCACGTGACCACCCTGTACGAAACCGCCCAATTGAATGCACTTCGTGAAATCAGAGTAAAGAGAGTAACGTTAAAATCTCTTCAATATCTCGAAACTACTTTAAAACTGTCGAATTGTTTGGTTACGATTTTTAACTTTTAAACAAGGTCATGATCAAAATTATTATGTTTAGACTATTATACTTAACGTCGACATAATTCCAAGCTGACAAACACTGAAATTTAAAAAAATATGAACACGGTATCTTGCTTAAGTTAACTTTCTCAGCTGCAATTTTAACAACCTCGTCCCAGGGAAAAGCGCCCTGGGGACGAGGTTGCAATTTTAACGCACACTGAAACAGAGAAGCAAATAAAGACAACTCTGGGCTATCATACCTTACGTCTATTTTAGTACGCCTTATTTTCTACAGCCCAAAACTGGAAACTCATAGATTGATAATTACTTTTAAGAAACGACATCATTTCGAGACAGCTTAGTCCAAGGACAAGAGATCTGGAAATGCACGTTGTTATGCGAAGATGGTATATGTTTTTGCTTCTGATCCCTTTGTAACCTTAAATTTGCTTTAACTGAAAAATTCGCCATGCTAACACAGAAAATGACCGTGACGTTGTAGTGGTTCAGCCTCCTCCTCAGGCGCTTCGTTTTTCGCATGGCAGAGGCGAGCGCGAAACGAGCGACTGGTGATGAACCGCAAGAGACCATGGGAAGGGTACAGTCTCCTTCCCGCCTTCCTTTGCGCGCAAATTTTCATCAAAAGAGAGACGTCTGGGTACGAGGCAGGTAGTGGTGTTAAATGACCAAAAAATGAAGAAAACAAATGACGTATAACAGTTTACACGTAACACTAAAAGTGTTAGATTTTCACTTTGTTACTCGATTTAAACTATATATAATTCTAGTGCTTTTTAGTAAAATAAAACTTCAATAAGCATTAAAAATCTCTTCTTGCAGTAAAGGATTCACGATATTATGATCTGTTATTGGCAGTTAACCAAACCGTTTCGATCAGTTTTCGTTGTTCGCAAACCAACGCGGAGAACTTCTTGTTGTAATCTCATTTCTTGAATATAAAAGCCCTAATTAATGAAGAGTCTTGTTTGCCTTCATTGTAACATTGCTGCCTCGCAATCATATTATGATTTGTCCAAAAAGCTACGGTACTCTTCCGATTGACTTTGATCACTGTTTTCTACCCCACGAGATGAACAGAACAACTTCGATTTTAAAACTGACTGGTTAGTCTGCGTATTTCAAAGCTCACCAGTGACCGGCCTGTGGCTCTTTTGTGTGATTCTTAATGTCCGACTTCATTTATGGATACCACATGCTAAACCTTATTGATCAGTCTCGGAATTTTCCGATTCACCTCCATCACCGTCTTCACTGTGGTCAGAAGGATACATATAAGACATCTATTCCAGTACTTTTGAAATGTCCGTTTCCTCAGCGATCTGTTCAACATTAGAGCAAACTGCTCCAGTGACGGTTGACGCATTAGGCCCCATCATCATTCCTTGTGGTTTCAATTGGAATGACGAAATCTCAGCATTTAATCCATTCAGCGTTATTTGGAAGAATCTCCCAAATGAAGTAAAACCAACAACTTTGTCTTCCTTGGGGGAGACAGTCATGAAGGAAATGTTTTCACCCTCAACTGGAACTCTAATGAAAGAAATGGCTGTCCGCTCAAGTACGTCCCACAAGAACACAGCACCATCAATACCATATGATATAATGTAGCGCTTCCCATTTAAAAACCGACAAAATTCGATTTTACCTAAATGGGCGCGAGGTAGCTTTAAAACGAGCTGCGGGTTGGTAGGACTGTTAAGAGAGTAGCGTAAGATTCTATCCACAACGCAACAAGCCAATAGATCATTGTTGCGTGACACTGTGCAGTAGGTGATTACGTCAGCTTTACTATAGAGCACGTCGACATCCAGTCTGGTCGATGCTTTATTTGTAATCTTCGCAGGATCCCAGATCTCGATGTGAAGCTCAGTGGAAAAAACTATTTTGTTATCTACTGTAAAGAAGCAGCAAAAATCCTCAGAAACAAGGCCAGGTGGGTCAAATGATGCTAACGTTTCTCTCTTCCTAACGTCCCACACGACAAAAGGACAATTCCTTATGCAATAAAGAAGTAAGGCACTGTCACCCGAGAATGTAAGCTGAAGGACACTGAACTCGTGATCATCTTCAAAAACTGAACACAGAAAACTGCAATCGTCTGATCCGATTGTATCGTGCAACGTTATCATCTTACCATGGTGAGCAGCAATTAGCTTTCCATCCGAAGAAAATGCGCATTTCTGTACGTGCCAAGGGCCAAGCAAACCGGAGTCCAAGGGAGGCTCAGCAAATATAGTTTTGGTACATAAATCTCCAGTTGCTTGAAATGACAAAACTGATGAATCAGTGCAAAGAACCAAGAAAGTGTCCTCTGAAACGAAGTTTGCTTGCATTGGAATTTTCACTGATGGTATAAGAAAATGTTTCAAAAAATCACAAGGGAAGTGTTTCAAAAACAGAGTTTTACCCTCGTCATCGGCCTGAAAATGATAGCCTACGTGCCCTTCAGAAGTGAAGAATAACGGGCTAACTCCTGAGACGCTTTGCAGAATGGTACCCGATTGTAGAGACAGGGCGTGAAGTGAGGTGTGAACACTTAAATACACGAAAAATGAGTGATCATTTGTGAAACCAAATTGAGCGACCTCCTTGATGACGTATTCTGGGTTGTTGGAATGTTGCTGCTGATAATGTGGATGTCTTACACGAAACAAGTAGACCACAGTCTCAGCATCTTTAACAAACGGTTTGGCCACCCATATCACTCCTGGTGATAGGCAAGGTACACTGTCAGAGAAAAACACTTTTTTACCTTCATCAGGGAGATTTTCCAGTTCGGAGGCTATTATTGGTGAAACTGTCGATAAGACTGACGCCTTTTCTATTGCTTCATAAGTGTCACCGTTGGATAAGTCGGTAAATGTATAAGTCGATGAGGCTGGCGTTCCAATAGTGTCATCGCTGGTTAAGTAATTCGATGAGGCTGGCGCTCCAATAGTGTCATCGCTGGTTAAAACGAGATGCCGAACCGCTTCACGGTACAATACCTTCATAATTGGTTCGGAGCTGTCTAGAACAGTCGTGGTGCCTGTCTGGAGACAGAGAGCACATAGACGGGACTCATGAGTCATAGAAACAACTACATCCTCCTCCAAGGCAGCATAACATCTGATCTCTTTAATGACACGTTTCACGTTTTGGCTATCCACCATAAAGCTAACTGTTCCATCAGGACGAGGGCAATACCATTTTAATATCGCTATTGGCCTGGGTGGAAAGCTGCTAAACAAATACTTTTCCAGAAGACTTTCATGGAAGAGAAGGTGATGACAAATAGTGCTTAGTAAAGCAATATTGGCGAGTGAGAGAGCCTTATCAATGCCGGTAAACAGTGTGCGACATGTCTCGAATGCTGTGCCTAGGTGACAAAAATGAATAAAGTGGCATACCTCAACACCGGAAGATAAGGCTACATTAAGCACAGGTTCACCCGTTCGGGCATCCCAAACTTGATACTTGAATATGTTAGAATAGTGGTCAATAACAAACTGACGAACTTCTTTCAAGGTTAATGCCTCATAATCTCTTGACAATTTACACCTGAGACAATCTGGAACCAGAAAAGTCAAATCTCCTCTATCAAGTTGTACCTTTTCTAAAAGTGAACACCATTCTTTGCACTTCATTTCGCTGAGGAGATTTAACAATGGCCTCATTGCTGTAATGCGCGAACCCTGATACGTTGCTAATTGGGGGTATTTTCTTGTCACTTCCAGCTTGTGAGGAAAACATCGACATAAGGGTTCTCTTTCACCGCTCCGTTCAATTTCCAATTTGGCCCACAAACAAAGGTGATTTAAAAAGCACAACCAGCAAGTGGGAGTACATAACCTGTTACATTTCACCACGATGTGTTGTCGATCAAGGGTAAATGAACACCATTCACATAGACGATGAACTTTCTGTAATGGGACATATGTTTCAATAATTCCTCGCTGTACTGAGAACGCTCTGCCAAATTTTCCAAAGAAGACAAAATTACCACAGGAAGAAAATGCCAGACCTTTTACGTCTGACACTTCGTTTACTTTGACTGGGCCAAGCAACCTTTCAAGGGAGCATGAATTGAACAACGAGATGCACCCGTCTTTAAATTGGGCTAGTAACTTCTTATCAGGTGAAAAAGCAAAGCACCTCCTGACCTTGTTATGAAGGGCTTTAGGAGCAGGGAAAGGAAGCCAACTCCACTCCATCCGAGTGGTGGACACTCCATCGGGAATTGTCATGTTTAATTTGACAGCTTTGGACACCATTTGCAGGCAGGAAGGCAGAAGATGTGGACATTCCCAAAGAGTATGGATACTTCTTTCTAGTGCTCTGCAAACTCCTTGCAGAGTTTCCTTTTCAGTGTCAGAAAGATTCTGACAACCAGCAGAAAGCTTGAGATCACCAATCAGAGAATACACGCCAATCCGGCTTTTCTGTATTCTCTTCTGAATAAACTGGTAGCTTGTCAAGAAGTTGTGAGCGATCTTCATCGAATCTCTGTCATCGCACTTACACAAAAGACGAACTCCGACATGCAAGACGTAGTCCAGTAAATCTGTTTCAATTGACGAATATTTTCCTGATGAAACGTTGATCATACTGGAAGGAAAAAATTCCAAAACAATTTTCTTTAAGTACTCCCGTGCCACTGTAATATCGACACAAAATTGCCGAGCTTTTTTACTGTCGGTCAGCCAGGATGGGATTAAGTTGTGAAGAAAGGTAAAAGTCTGATCAGAAGCTCCGCGTACCAAAAATATTGAAACGGTGTCAATAACTTCTTGTTCGTCCAGGTGCGATTTTTCTCTCTTTAGAAGGAATGAAATAAATGACCGCGGAATAGGAGAAGGAGAAGCTAAAACACAGCCGAACAAAGTTGTGAAGAGATCTGCTTTCACTTTATCAAAAATCCGCTTAAAATTGGTATGAAAAAAATCATCAATGCCTCTTGGAAAAAGATCAGTCAGTTCACCAACGCTACCTGGACATGCTGAATTATTTAGCACTTCCACCATGTAGAAAGCATACAAGAACAGTCCATTGCACTTCCTTGCTACGTCTTCGACAGTGTAGGGGAGACAGGAGAAATCGACTCTTTTCTCCAAAAATCGCTTAATGTCCTGCTCGTGCTGCTGATAAACATTAAGATGTTTGTCGTATCCTACGCATATTTTAACGCAAGGGTCATTATATTTTAGAGTGAACTGCACGGTATCTTCAGGGCGACCGGTGATAAAAAACAAAAGCCACTTTGGAAGCCGGGGAAAACGGTGCATAACCAGATTAAGAAAATTGACCCTGGACTTGTACTCTGACTCATCCAGAGCGTCAATAATGACTAATTTTCTTTGTTCACAAGGCGCGCACTTACCTAAAGGTTCTTGTAACAGTTTTGTAAACAACCCAACAATACTTAACTTACTATTGGCTAATGTCATTCTTACACCACCCTCCCCTCCCACCATATTACTGTATTGAACACTACATTTACAAAGCTGACAAGCTATAGTACCTAGAAGAATTCTGGGATCATTTCTTGTCTCATCTACTAAGTAACAAAAGTAAGCAGCGCCTAAGTACCCAGCATCCTTTGCCTGCTTTGCCAGGGCTCCTGCTATTACACTTTTGCCAACTCCCGCATCACCCAGGAGAACATAAGCTCTGGACTCACCAGGAGCATGGAACCAACTGTTAATATCTGCAAATAGCCACTTTCTCGTGTCTGGATCGTGTCGCTTGGCAAAGAAAGCGATATCGGCTTCAAAATTGGAAATTTCTACAGGGCAAAAAGGAAAAAAACAAAATGCTTAGACGAAGAAAGCTGATTTCCATTTCAGTGATCCACATTTCCTTACTTGAGTAAAAAACTTTTCTATTAGACTTCCAATTTTTCTTAGGAACAAGCAAAAGGAACAGTACTACGTTAACAGCTTGGTCTTTACTGTAATTCCATTATAACACATGAATTACACAGAGATTGAACTTTATTATAATATCTTTTTCGCGATCCGAATGAATATCACGTGACAATGACGTCACAATTGTTTTTGCTCCCCCATTAATTTCAGCCCTAAGTCGTATTTCCTCTAGAAATGTACTAGGCTACGTATACTTTAGTGCTTGTCTTCTGGTCTGCGAAGTTTCACAAAAATCTATATGTGAGGAATCAGTGAAGATGAGCTATTTACTGGATGTTTCTGCAAATATTTAATTCTAATTCGTTTCAAAAATGTCTCTTTAACATCACGTACATCAAACCGCTCGAGACAGCTACACATGTGCGATTTCGAAAAACAGAAATGTATATCTAGCCGGGTGTTTGAAAACGTTATCGCCAAATGGACCTTTCTGTGTCGTACAGTTTTTAAAGTAGCCATTATAAAAAGTATGGGTGCAGCCACTGCTTTTTCTCTTTTCCTCCTTTCTTCCTCCTCGCTCTTTCTCAGTCCCCCTTCTTTTTCCTTCGTTAGTGTGATTTGCAGCTTATCGAGCCCAAAAAACCTGCCTTTTGACGCCTTTTAACTCAAATGACTGCAAATTTCGATAGGTTGGTTTTCAAAAAATCGGCTCGGCTAGATACCGTATTTATTCGATTAACCACCCTGGGCACTTATTAAATTTTTGGACCTTGAGAGTGGGCGCTTATTCGAGGCTGGGCGCTTATTCGAATGAATACGCTATATCAAAATTCGTAGATAGATTTACTTCTATTAAAATTTTCAGAGCTGCAATTGATCAGTGTACTATAGAATCGCGTAAATTCATTGTTGTCCATCGAAACTGAGTTGTCTATAATGTTTGCACAAAATTGAGTGAATGTTGAAGTTTTGGATAATTTTACGTCTTTTAGTCATTTAATGGGCAGACCGCGTCATGTTTTGCTCAAAAGTAGATTTATCTCGAATATTAATTTCCATTATTTTAAAGAATTTTTAAGCTTTAACTGTAGGTTTGCATTTATCGCCTTTTGTATTTTGGATATGTTTTCCAATATCATCCAATCAAACATTACTGGATTAAACAAAAATAGACAGAGGTAAAAGTTTGAAAGATAATAAGAATAATTCTATTTACCAATGCTGACTTGAGGAAGAGGAGATCTAAGTTGCTCTTCCACTTGTGTTACTCGTTGCTGTACAAAATCATGGTCTGACTTTAGTGACTTGAACTTTTCTCCCAAAGCTCTCTGTTCATCTTGAAAGCTTTCCATACTGCGTTTTAATCCTTTATTTTCATTCTCAACAACTGAGATGCGTTTTTCCAGTTTCTTCAGATCACCAGCCACATCTTGCAGTGCAATCTCTACTGTCTCTCTGTCGCACTCCACTTCAAACGCCATATTGTCGACATCAGCTATCAGCTTATTAACATGCTGTTGTACCATCTGTAATAACGCTGCGTCCACAGAAGGATTCATACAAAGCGACGGTCCCTGGCAAACAAGAAATAGTAGAAGTTTAACTACATTACGATTCATTACTATCTCAACACTGAATTATACTGCACGTAATGTCTACCATTGTTTTCATTAAGAGAAGCTTTATTTTAACTCAAACTGCAGATTTAGGCCATGTTCACACTATACTGGAGAACTCTTCCTGTCGCCACGAAAAGCTATCCTATACAGTGTGAACAGCAACGACCCGAGGCGGCGCAAGTCGTTCACACACATCGAATATCGTGTCGGGGCAGTTGGCCGAGACGGTTTGATGCACTAAATTCCAAGCCATCCCTCCTGAATGTTTACTTCCGTCTCAGTGGGTATCAGGCCTCGCTCCTACTTATGTATTTCCGCCACGGGCCGAGCAGGTGCTCAGACTGCAACAAACAATAGCAGCAAACTATCCGATATGTCACGCTCCTTCGAGATCGGCGCGGCGCAGCTTCGTTCCGTCACAGAAATCGCGCCGAAGTGACGGTTCTTATGTGTGAACAGAAGCCGCTATCGGGTATGGGTTTCGTACCGGCGCGAAAGTTATCCAGTATAGCGAAACAGCCTTAGTAGAAATTCGCAACGACCACGACGAAGGCGACTGCAACGACAACGTCAGACAAAAAAGGTTTAGATTAGCAAAACGACAATTCTGCAGGTGGAGCACACGTTTTCCTACATTCCTTAGGGGCACCCAACGAGAATATAGTTCAAAACCACTTAAACATAGCATTGTTAAACGTATTTTAGTATTTAAACGGTAGATATAGGCATATTTTTTATCCCCTAAAAATTTTTTATCTGTTCGGATTTCCTAGCTGAAAGTCTATAGTGATCCGAAAATTATAGGGACCAGAACTTCCCTTTCCGCATGAAAATTTCAGCCAGAAAAAAAGCTCCCGAAAATTCTAAGTGACCTTTTTAGGGTAAAAATCCGTTTTAAATGGGCAATTATACAATGCTTTAGATGTTCGAAAATCCTCAACAAATGTTCCGAAAATTCTAGATCTCAAATCGTCTTCCGAACTGATATTTTCCGAAAATTGACGTTGGGCCCCTCATTTCTTCGCCGTCACTGTACGACCACGACGTGAAATTTCCTTATTCGATGTGTTATAGAGGTCGTAAACACACGACGGCGAGTTTTCGTTTCATTTTCAAAACCTGAGTGACAAAAGTGACATTTTTGCTGCCGTCGCCTTCGCCGATGCTGAAGTTCCCTATGTGTTTACTACGGGTTATTTAAGTATGTACTGTCAAACAATTTGATTACAGTGAAAAGTGGCAGAACATTTTGGTTTACATGTGTAGGTAAAATGAGTTAAAAGTCATTTGTAATTGTGCTGTACTTTTTGCTTCAGACTTTCTGTTTGGGTTTTGCTTGGAAAGAGTTGATGTTCCAGTAACTGTTATGTTACAATATTTTGCGCGTTTGGTAGCAAGATAATAATATCGTTTGCTTAAAATAGCTGATGCCTTGTCACCTTGGCCAAAAACAAAAAAAAAAACAAAGAAAAACAAAGAAAAACAAATGACCCGTTAATCCATTCGCCTCTAAACCGCCCGTGCGGATCCACGCCCCTTCTATCGCTTGTGACGTCATCAGTTTTAACGGTGAAAGAAAACTTTGTCATCTGACTTGTGTATGGGGAAAAGATCTTTCAAACCATAGCAGAATGAGCATGGTTCAGTGAAGAAGACCGGAGAAAAGGGCAAAAAAAAAAACATGTAAAGTTGACCCAAAAATTCCCATAAAATCTTGTTCCACTACCCACCTACTTTTCCTTCAATCGAAAGCTAAGATCCTAAAAGCTTTCCTAAAACTTTTCCCACCACAATGAAGCCTAGTGGGGATGAAGCCAAGTAGGGATGTTCCCATGGATATTGCAGACTTTTATTCAGATTATGTCTGTTAGTACCTGTTTTCTCCCAGGTGTTGAGATCTGCTAAGAGTTTTGTTTCATCTGGCAGACCCAGAGCATTCACCAACCTTTTCATGTCTTGAAAACACTGCTGAAACTTTGCAGGATCCCAGTCTTGGAATGCACAGTGAGCCCAGGCATTTCTGTCTCGCCGAACATTACGTGCAGCACTCTGCGCAGCAAGAGAAAACACTGGAACTCTACCAAGCAAGTTAAGCACAGCAGAGGCATCACAGTGTTCATCAAACACTGTGAACTTGGCCATGTAGTTCTCTAAGTACAGCTTTGAATAGTTCACATGTGACATTATGCGGCAGTCAAATTTAGCATAATTAAACTTCCCATGAAGCTTGGGTACAGCATCATTGCCTTTGATGTTTTCATACTTCAGAAAAGTGGAACTCCATTTCTTCAGTCGACCAGATGAGCTCTGAGAATCAATGCCATGACTGGTTTTAAGATTGACATAATCCTTTTGAACTTCCTTTTCTACAAAAGTTTGAATTTGGTCCACTAAGTCCTTCAGTGCAAGACCAAACACCATCCATCTTTTCTTGCTGTCATTAATGTTTCCTAGAGCACTGGTACTAGAGTACAAAAAAAAATCAAAAACATGTTATCATGGCAAGTTGCTTCTCAAACTCATTAATAATTCACGAAGAGAAAACAAAGAAAGTTGTTGCCATAAATTAAAGGAGGTTTGCAAGAGCTTTTTCTACAAGTTGAAGTCATGTTGACCTCCCTTACGCAAAATTATGTCATGGGTAACAAGTTAAATGATGCAAAAGATGAAAATGAAAAATTTAGCTAGAGGGCCAATTTTAAGCGACTGACACATAAGAGTAGGATTACAATGGTGTTCAGATGTTTAAAAATGATAAGGGTATATTGGAGTTTGCTGGACCGCAAGGCATATGGTACAGCTTTATTTTTTCCATTGATATAAACCATTCATTGTATTTTTCCATAATTCATTAAACCAACCTGTAAAAATTGAACTGTTAATAGCAAACCTAAAAATTAGCAGACTCAGCAAATTTTTTGATTTGCTCTTTCCATCCCTGGTGTTTGCATTCCATAATTGTAGCACAAAAAAGGTCACATGATTTCCAGCTGCAAAGGATCTACTATTTTTCATTTGAGAACCTGTTCTATCCCATTTTCAGACACCTCAAAGTTTGTCCACTAAAGCTGGTGTGGCACCTTTGTTAATGCTTAACTTGCCAGGGTATTGATATCAGATCTAATGTGCCTTGGTTTTAATACATTACTTCTAGTAGTTATTATTAATAATTAATATTTATAATATTAATTTTATACTTGGCCGTGATGCTGAGGGAAATCACACAGTGTATGAAGTTTCAGGGATAATACTAATTCATTCTTGGGATGTCTGGCTGAAATAATACCGTAAAATTCCGAAAATAAGCCCCGGGGCTTATATTTTTCAAAGGCCCATTTTGAGGGGCTTATTTTTGGAGGGGCTTTTATTCCGAGGGGCTTATTTACGGAGGGAAACTTGCGTTTCAAAATCGATTGGGCTAGCCTTATAGTTGGAAGTAAATTTACCGTTTTTGCTTTGTTTTACTTTGTATTTGAGGGAAATTTTCCAATTACATATATTTGGAGGGGCGATTTAACGGAGGGTTTTTTGGGTTACCGGTTTGGGGGGCTTATACATGGAGGGACTTATTTTCAGAATTTTACCGTACCTTCTAACAGGTGAAAAAAAAGAAAGCTGAAAGAAATCAGAGTGATCTAATACCTTGAACTTGACCCTGTTGCTGCTGCAGTTGCCATTGCTAATGCACATAGTTTGTTGTTGATTTATTAGTACTGACTGTACTTGATGTTTCCTTGTCCACTTTTTGACTGTTTATTGGCATCTATCATTTTAAGGGAAAACCTCTGTCATTATTAAATTAAATCGCATGTTATAATAATAATAATAATAATAATAATGATGATAATAATGGAAACTTTATTTGTGTTTTTGAATGTACAATTGAAAATCTCGCTACGTATAGGCAATTTACAAATGCTGCTTGAGATTGGATTATTAAAAAGAGAAAAAACAAAACAAAACAAAACAAAACAACAAAAAAATCAAAATTGCATTAAGCCTGGGCTATCCCAGTTCCTATTTCTACAACAAAAGATGTAATATGTTGCTCTAATGGTTAAATTTATCATTTTCTTGATTATCTAAAGTTGCTGCTTTTTGTCAATGCCAATGTCATTCATCATGTCTAAGAACGTGGAGCATTCATAATAATAATAATAATAATGATAATAGAAAAGTAGTATGCAATAGTAATACCTCTAAGGTATTTCGTTGGTTAAACATAAAAATGACTTTCATATACTTTAAAACAAACATGCACACTACTGCTGTTCACAAAACTGTAATATCTTTTTCTTAAAAATGCCTATATACCTCAGCTTTGAGGATTGCATTGGCTTGTGTTAGCAATAACTAGTTAAATAATTAAGAAAAAGGGTTTATTAAACTACACTACATGATTAATTCTAGCTGG